CTAGATCTTTATTTTATCTGTTATAATCCTGTACTTCATTTTGGAACTATAGATGCTGTTCTGCCTGTAGTCCATCAAGCTAATATTTTAACTCAGTAGCGTGTTTCAGTAGAGAGAGTTGCCTTCACAGTTCCCACAGTTCCTGTAACTGGAAAGCTGCAACACCAGTATGGCAACTGGAAATGGGAAAATTTATTTAAATTATTGCTTTGTAGACTATCCCATTTGGCAAATATTTTTAAGCATATGATTAAATTTCATTATGCATCTCACTGATATCTTGTAAAAGTTTTCTTGAACTTGTGTATTTCTATAAAGCAAGAAGTTGGTAGTATGACAGAAGTTGGCTAGGTCTGTCACTTAGCTTTCTTTCCCCTGAATGCATGAATAATATCTGGTATAAATGAACTTTTTCTGTGGTGATCAGATACGGTTTATGAAGAGAGATTTTTTTTTTCCTTAGATTCTTAATTAAAAATAGATTCTGTTAAAAGCTGAGGGAAGAGATTATAGATTTAAAGTTATTTCATCTGCAGTATGTGCAAATGACTAAAGCAGCAGCCATGATTAAAAGTAGTATTGCGTAGGTCCTTTTCTGTTAGTGATTTTCTTCTTATTATTATTACAGTTCATCAGTAGGATATTTGCAGCCTCCCGGATCGGAGCAGATACAGTTTCCTAGAACATCATCACCATGCCACTCGCAGCAGCTTCAAGGACAGCAGTGTGCAGGTTTGGGAATAAATAGTGGGTTTTTGGCTAACTTAAAATGTTTCCAGCTATTATGCTCAGTAATTGGATGTTAAATTGGATATTGCTATTAAGGGTGTGTTTAGAGTTAAATATTATTTCTTTCTGTATCTCACATTTTTTAAGTTGTAGTGGGGGCATCTTCTTAATTGTTGAAAACTCTCAATTTATCTAAAAATCAATAATATGCATCAGAATGCCTTCCTTGTATGCTTGTGAGTTGTGAAAGAAAGATACAGGAATAAATGCAGTTTCAGGAGAATGACTTCCTAAATACCGGCATAGGTCTGAAAAAAATGAGATTTGGGGCTACATCTGATGGAGCTAAAATCACTGTGGCTCTTCTGCTCGAAAAACATTTGAGATTATTTGTTTGAATAAACTAGAAGGGGTGTGCGTGTGTGTGTATTTTTACCAGGAGTTTGTGGGAAGAAAATAATGACAAAAAAAAAAGTATTCTTTTTGGACCTCTTGGAGGGGGAAATGAAATACTTAAGTGTTTTGGTGTGTGGTGCTGCTTTTTTGCTTTGTGTTTTTTTTGTTTGTTCGTTCATGTTTGTTTTTAATAGTAGCCTTATCGACTGCTTTTACTTCCGTAGTTTATAACAACCATTCGAGTCGGAAGCCATCACCTCCTACATTATTACCACCTTCATCAAAATCAAAGCCACAACAGGCTGCTTCCATTGTGCACTACAGCATAGTGTCTTCACCCTCATCCTGTAAAAGTTCGCCCACTGGTCTTTCCATCATGCAGCCCATAAAAGGTATATTTTGGTAGGATTTTCATGTAAGCCATTCTGCTTAGAAATCTGTTGTGAGTTATCAGCTTGACTTCCTGGCTGAATTGACCTCAGTGCCAATCTATACAAATACTTGTGAACCTGGTTCAGAATGCTGTGACCTGCAAGATATTTGAGTGTTTTAGATGCATAAAAGCAGCCTCAATGCGGTATGAAAACAGCATTGATACAGTGCTTGTTATATCGGCAAAACATTTATAAGAGCTAATACCTGAACTTCTGTGTCCTGTGAATTACAAGCTGCAACTCTCATTGACAGACTGCTCAGGAAATTCTAGATGTTAGGGATAGAATCCAAACAAGGAGGTTATAGAACAATCCTATAGTGATATTGGTTCTGTCTTCCTTTTACTGATAGGAAATTGGATGTATTACAGGCTGGCTTGCCAAAAAAGGTATAATCTCAAATATTTCTATCTCTGTATTTTGCAAGCAGCCAGTAGATTAAACAACCCTGGATCAATGACCTGTGGTCCAGTATAAATGTGATTTTTCTTATTAGTGTTTATCTTTTAAAGTATTTTTAGCCTGTTTATTAGTAAATGGTTAACATGCAATTAAATGGCAAGGTAGCTGGCCTTTTAACAGTATATTTTCATTGATGTACAGGCTTGATTTGTGTTTGCTTTTTCCTTGGAGTTTCTTCGGCTGCAGTTCTTGAAGACTTTGTCATTTCAGGATGTCTAAAATTGGTCTTGCTATAGCTTGTTTTTCCATCCTGTCTTGATAATGATCATTTTAGAAAGTTTTGAAGGCTTGATTCAAATTTATTAGGCTGTGTGATTTAAAGAAGTTCGTGGAAAGGAAATCCTTCTATGACACAGAGCAAATATTGAGAGGTTTTAAATGGCACTGCAACAGTGCTACTGAGGTGATGAATCAAATGATTAAGCATGATGAGGACATACAGAGACAGGAAGTTCAGTGATGCTTTTTCTGCAATTTGTGTTTTTATTATTATTTTTATGAATAATATTATTATGGACTGAATCGGGGATTTTTTTTTTTTTACAAGTTTCCTTTCTGAGATATTTTGATTGCTGATGAGGTGTCTGCATACTGACTTGAGCCCTCTCTGAGGCTTTGCTTCATCAGCAGACTTAAGAAAAGGATTCTCTTTATTTCCATTTATTGACATGGTGGGGAACTAGTAGGGAAAAAACCAAAATGTGCCTTTCTGGGTAAACAAACTTCTTTTTGCATTCTAAATAGTATTTTTAGTTTGTGACAGTGGGTTACAATGGGCTTTGGGGGGGTGGGTTTGTTTGTTTTAAGAAATGATACTGTGATTTTTTTTTTTTTTTTTTTTTTTTTTGGAACGGCATTTTTATTGCATGTGCAATAAAGAAAAAAAGAGCCCAAAACAGTAGTATGTTGAGCGTTGTAGAATAAAATATTAAAGTATTATAAAGCAGATGAGAAAATACATATTTTATAACATCCATAAAACGTGGATATTGTGAATAAAACATTTAAAATGAATCAGTGTTCATGTGCAAAATGTAAAGCTTGCCTGGTACGTTTTAGCTTTACATAGAATCTAAATGTATGACTTTGTCGTTTGGAAACTCCTATAGCTATTCTGATTAAGTAGCTATGTTGGCATATAGCAAAATGGGAGCATTCACAAGCTGCGTCCTGAGGGGATGGAACAAGGACTCTTTAATTTATATTCTCTCCTCAAGTTGACCTGATACCTGACCCTTTCATTTCTATCCATAATAGTTCTTTCTTGGCTTTGAAAATATTATTCTGATCCTTGATTACAAAAGAAGCATAGGTTTTGAAACCATTGCTGTTATTATTTCCTATGTTTTGATAAATAGCAGCTGGTAAATATTTCAGAATACAACTTACAAAAGTTAAGGTAGGTGTAGCAGAATGATGTATATTTTTGTTGTTTGCTTTGCTTTTCAGTCTAGTCAGATTGTTTCTTTTAGTGAAGTGTATGAGCAGTGAAAACAATAACCCGTTAAAAAAAAAAGATTCAAAATACATTCATCTTGCATCTGGCCTGTAACTGAAAATGTACTGGGTAGTGAAATGAGAAGACTCATTCCTCTTTAAAGCTGGATGATTAGATGATTTTTAAAACCCATATTTTAATCATGGTTTCTGAGAAATTATGTGAAGAGTTAGTGGCTAAAGCAGAGAAAGGAGATGGCAAGCAACCAGTTAGAAGTGAACAGGACATGATATAAATTGCCCAGAAGCCAAGCCCAAGGGGGAGGCACTTAAAGCCTCTGGCTGTTCTCCCCTCACTTGGGAACTTCTGTAGCTTCCACAGTAACAAGGTAGCACAGGATAGGATTTACAATCTTTGCCCAGAAAAATGATTTTGTATAGAAACTAATAGTCAATAAGGCTAAATTAGCCTTCTTTTGCTGTAAAGAATAATTCTATGTCTTTATGATGTGTGGTATTGTGTTGGAGAAAATATTTTGAGTCTATATTGCTGATGAAATGTTGTGTAATTTGTATTTTTAAATACTGCTTCTTTTTATGACCTGTTCATTGATACATTGCAATAATAATGCTAAGTACTTTCACCTAAATTAAATGGTTTGTTTAAAAAATATTCTCAATAATGAGTTTCAGTGGTTTTACACTTATATTTCTAAGTTCTGAGAAGCCTTCTGTGTTATCCATTAAAGATTTATCTGCTACAGAAGTGTAACAGTACAGAAGACACTGCCCTAGTTTCCTAGTACTCAGCAGTATACTTTGAAAAATGTTCATTATATAATTTGCCTTTTTTTTTTAATTCATTGCTAAAAAAATAAAAAGAAAATTAAAATGTTCAGTGAGCTAACAGTATCTACTTGTTTCTTGTGTTGTAGCAGTAGCACCACCACCAGGTGGAGGAGTAGTAATGATGCAACTAAATATACCTAATAATCCCCAGCCTCGGAACCATTCGCCTCCACAGTGGAAACACAATAAATATTACTGTGATCATCAAAGGGGGCAGAAGTCCGCAGAATTTAGCACTTTAGACAGTGCCACACAGGTATGAGGTTCTTGGTTTGCTTTTTGCAATCATATGCTATCTATAAATTGCATCCTTGCATGTCTTTTTAAGTTCTTTCGGGGAAAGTAAATCTTTGCTGGTGCTACTAATTACAGCTACTTGGCTTCCCATGTTTGAATGGTGTAGGTATTATGTAGCTCATTCAACAAAATATGTTTTTAAACACTAACATCTTGGCATTATCTTTATTATAGTTGCAGCATAGTCCTCAACTAGGTAGTCCTGTCACCTCGCCGGCCCAATCACCAGCACCAGCTCAGCTATCAAATATGAAGAACATCCGTCCCACTTTAACACCTCTTTCTATTGTGTCCCAGTTTTCTAGACCTTTTGTCTCTGGACAAGGTATATTTTCAGTTAACTAAGATGTGTATTTCCTATTTGCTTTTGCTTGTTTCTTTAATAATTTCTACAAGGATTTTCTGATAAACAGGTTCGCTTTTTAGTAATGCTTTCAAAGCAGGATCAGAATCAGGCACTCTTCACCATGTAAAAAAAATCATCCTTATTTTTCTGCACCAGAAAGGATTGATCTTTGTATTACTGGGAGAGCTTTTATAACCATCTAGGTTTCTCATGTGCAGAATTTCTCCTTTCGGCACTGTATATCCTGATGGTGTTTGACATAACTTTACTCTAAATTTTAACTATAAATCAAGAAATTTTACACATTTAAAATGGACCCAGTTTAAGAACTACAAAGACATGGAGGGCCAACTGGTCTCAATATGTCAGGTGGATGTTGTTCCTTGAGGGAAAACGCAAAGAAACATCATGTTAAGATAAAGAGTTCTGCCAAACTCTTGTTTTTTGATGGTGCACTGAATCAAACCAGTATGAATTAATTCCTTCCTAGTGACACTATCATGGTGGGTCTGGAACCTCTAGCCAATACTGCTATTTCAAATAGTAATAAATGGTTCTGTTATCCTTCTTTAGGTTCTCCCACCCAAAGATATAAGAAATTCCTTGCAGAAGAGTATCAGTCCTCTGCTGCCCTACTAATAGAAGAACAGCAGATAGAATTTTCAGGGATATGAATATTGATGATGTTTAAAAATAAATGGTAAAAGAAAAAAAGAACATGGGCAACAACTTCTTGTCACTGACTAAAGAGGTCCTGATATAGTTTCTAAGCTAAAAACTAATTGATCTGTTTTTAGAAAAGGGAGTGACAAAGAGTAAGGTGAAATTACAGGAAAAAACTGTGCATCTTCCTTTTTGATAAAGAAAACCTTATTGTCTTTGCATGTATAATCTTTGCATAATTGCTGTTTTCCACTTTGATTGCAAAAATTACCCCTCTCTTTAAGGAGATGCAAGATACCCACTGCTTGGCCAGCCCCTGCAATACAATCCACCATCTTTATTACGTGGACAAGTAACAAGCCAACAGGTACGAAAGAACCTTCTCCTGGCCACACTGAAAAGAGCAATTCAGGACTGCCACTACTATAGCTGCGAACAGAGCAATGTATTATTGCACTAGAAATGTAACGATTGGAAGATAGTTGCCTTTCAATAACAGTTTTATTCTGCATTGATTCTTCCCATTGTCTTTTGTTTAAAAAACAGTGAAAAATATTATTTTGAAATCTAGCTTTTTTATAATTTTCCTAAATTTCAGCCTGCAAAAGAAGACACGAGGCATAATGTAGACTGCTTTGTTTGCTAGCAGTTCCAAAAAAACAGAGAGATAATGTGTGCTTCCAGTTTTATTTGAGTAACAACTTCAAAAAGTAAAAAATACATATGGGTATTTCTGAAGAAAGAGATGGAGTTCTTTTGCTTGTTTGTTTTTAGCTTCCCATAGAGAAAGGTTTAGAATGAATTTTTTCCCTTTATTTTTCTTGTGAAGCCATGGATTGAACGTGTCTGCCTGCATGTTTGCTACACTAATATTAGGTCCAAAAATCTTCTCGGTGCCACTGCAGTGCAGATTAATCTCCAGCCATTCTTCTGTACCATCTCTCATTGAGTTGATAATGAAATTTTACATACTGATGCAGTGTCATTCAAGTATGTGATTTATATCCATCTTTCCAGTGTCAGCCTGGAAACAGACACGGAAACAGGGGAAAGAAGACAGCAAAGAAGGCTGCTTCAGCAGATCTTGGTGCTGGAGAACCAGGTATAGAATTGCTGATTGACCCAGTCCTCCAACAGAATGGATTAATCAGAACAGAGCAGAGACAGCTGAAATGTATGTAGGGTGTGGTAGTGTTTTTTTTATTGTTATTATCTCATGTGGTGAATTATGATGACAATCTGGGGGCTAACAAGAAAAGTACAGATGAAAGCAGGCAAAAAATAAGGGTAATTGGACAAAAATTGGACAAGGCAAATGCTGGAAAAAGTAAGGATGGAAGGGAAGAAGACTCTCATCAGGAGAGAGAAGGGAAAAGGGTATTTAATGGAGAAACATGGTGTCATTCCAAGGGCTGGGGGAAGGATTAGGACAAGACTGAAAGAAAAAAGTTTTGAGTTTACTGGACATTATTAACCAGGCAATACTGGTTCCTGATATTGCATTAAATATACAGAACCTTCACTTCCTTTTACTTGCATGAACTTTGAAATCATACACAGACCACGTAAGAGCTTCTGCCTTCCCTCCCGCCCCGTCCCTTTCTGATATAAATAAGCACACATATCTGGGGGAGCCAGTAAGCCTACTGGTGACAAGGCCTGCTGTCCAGTAAGGAAACAGTTGTCCAGACTGCAAAATGCTGAACTCTGTTGTAATTTCTCAGGGTACCTACAGATTAGCTCTTTGGAGTGGGTAGAAATGTCATGCAAATTAAACTTGACATGTGCCATCTTCAAATATTTACTGGAAAGAAATGCTGTTGTAAATGCTGCCTATTACAAACCGTTTTTTTTCCCCATAATGTAAAGATAAATCAGCTTTTTTCTAACAATTTATTGGTCAGAGAAGATAGACCAGTCTTCTGTAACACTGTGTCAGAAGGTAGTAAGAGTTCTTAAACCTGCTGCAAAATTAGGCGTACATATATATATATATGTGTGTGTGTATATATATACACATATATATTTTGAGGGGCCTGTTTCTAGCTTGTCTTCTAAGCTTTTGTTTGTATACTTGTACATGGTGCTAAGTGTGAAAGCACAAGTCTCTTTAAAGCACCAGAAATTGAGTGTGGGTGTATTTGACAATTAAACTGCAGATGGGAGGATACATTTACTCGCTGTTGATTTGTGCATTATGTATCTTAAGTGCAATGAACATTCTTAATGTAATGTTCTTGTTGTTTCAGTTGTGGGAAAAGTTTTAGAAATCACTGAACTACCGGAAGGAATAACTCGTATGGAAGCAGAAAAACTCTTTGGAGAACTTTTTAAAGTCGGTGCCAAGATTCGGTGGCTGAGGGATTCCCAGTGTCTCCAAACGCCGCCGCAGCAGCAGCATCGTCGTCACTGTAGCAGTGGAGATAGTAACGTGAACACTGAGCCTTCCAAACCTAGTGACTTGGCCTCCACTTACACGGTTCTGGCTACGTTCCCTACAATGACAGCTGCTCAGAATGCATTGAAGAAACAAAGTAGTACTTCAGTTAACAAGTTCAGGCTGAGAACGAGCAAGAAGCACTACGACTTTCACGTTCTGGAAAGGGCTAGTTCTCAGTAGCAGTTACATCAGTGGACACTCAGCCTTTACTACTTCCATGTCCTTCCCTCCTTGATTGGCTTGATGTTATGGGGTTTCTGTTCTCTTCATAGAGACTCCTGGGATGTTTTGTCATATTAGCCATTGAAGAATAACCCAGTGATCCAGCAAGATGAAGAAAAAAAGTACAGATTTAATCCCAGACAATAGCAAGCAATCATCTTTGAGACAGAAAGGCAGCTTTCTATAAGGAATGCTGTTAAAATGCCCCCTACTTTTATAGTAGTTTTGTTTTATATTTCTGAATTCTTGTATCAGATCCAAAGTTCTATTGTACAGCAAATGTTCATAACAAATACCCATGTTCAGATTTGTATTTTATAGTCCCTTTTCACTGCCAGCACACAGCTATCCTTTCCAAGGCAGGAACCTGGGGGAGAGGGGGGAGAGAACCATTTTTCAAGGAATTACACTGTTTTCTAAGAGACTACCCCAAATCTTCAAGTTAACTCCTTCCTTTTCTTTTGTATGTGTTTTTTTTAACAATATAATTTTAGTAACTAGTTAATTCCTTAGATGTCATGTTTCTTTTGAGATTCATTCAAGCAATGTCAAAAGAATTTACAAGTATGTGTGTACCCTTGAAGGATTTGCTTCTGATCCAGCAAGATTAATAAGTATATAAAGGGGAATATGAATGGATTACAAAGAATGTTCACAGAATCACCTTTTAATATTTGTTCTTTTTAGCAAAAGTGTGAGGAAACTAGAATGTATCTTCACAAGTGACAAAACATTTGCACTTTAATTGTGTTCCCACCAGTATGGATCTCTCTTCTTTTTCACGCTAAGATAATTGTGTTTGATAAGTGCTGGAACCCTCTTTAATGGTTTAAGTTTTCATCATTTGCAGAGGATCACTGGACATCAAAAGATTCATTGCACATACAAATGAGACAAGAAACCTTTTTTCCAATTTCTGTGTAATTTGCAAGGCTGTACAATGTGTGCTGATGCAAGCCTTTTTCAGTTCAAGAAAAATAAATGTTTACAAACACCAACTTTTTCAGTGCACTTGTTTCAACTTCTAGGAGTCTTCTGGACTGGATGAACATCCTCTGAAGGGTTAGGTTCCCTTTATATGTGAGAAAGGAAACTTGTAAATACTGTAAATATTAGAACTTTTCAAAGAACCACAGTCTCTTTTCCTCTTACTGGAAGCATTTAAGTTATTCTGTCCTTTGTTTTTTAAATGTTTGTCTCGAAGTAAAAAGACAAAGAAACTGATCATAGCCTAAAAGGGGCGGCTCCCCTGCCTTACCACAGGCACTGACTTGATGTGTAGACAACCCAGTGGGTTGATTTGCTCTGTTCACTTGCAGCTGTAGCTTTGCTAAAGATACTGCTGTAACCTCTGTAAGCCAAAAACCCAGGGTGTAAGTTATGTTTGAAGTACATAATTTAGACAGGAAAGTACAAATTCAGTTGCCCCAATTCACATTAGTTTTATTTTTTTGTACCAAAAATTCTGACATGACACTGAACAACCAAATGCATGAAGTTGCAAGAACTGTCCTATGTGTGTTTAATTCTTACATGCTTAATGTGATTTAAACAGAATCAAATTACTCAGAAAACTGATTTTCCTGGGAGCACTATAGCCTAACAAATTAGGCAAATGAGATTTTTTTTTTTTCCTGTAATGTTGTACTGGCAGGTATTTACGTAACTAAAGCTAAACCTTCACTTAGATGCTGTGCTGAAGCTGAGGTAAAATATTCAGTGTCAAGCCCATATGGTTTTAATCCTGTAAAAGTTATTAATAGACTCAAGGTCTGTAAGAACAGCTGTTCACAACGCACAGAGGCAGCCACCTCCTGCGGCTAACAAGCTCCAGGACAAGATTTTTGATAGAAAAGAGAATCCATAGCAGGCAGTTTCTATCCATTTTGAATAACCTAAGCAAAGAGACCATCAAACCCAAGCTTTCTCAGAGGATGCTGTATGACTTGCAGTTTTTAATAAGTTTTCCTGTAGCAAGCGAAGAAAATGTAATGGGAGAGGTAAGCATGGAGAAAACAAACAGTCTGAGAAAAAGGAGGTAGCTGATACAGTGGTTATGAACTGCTCGAGGCAACTATTTAATTCTAACCATGTTGTAAATTCTCCAGTGAATGCTGCCCTGGGATAAAAAAAATATATCCCTTAATAGGTTATTTATATTCTATTGAGCATCTTGAATGTGATAACCTACACAGGCAGGCACACAGGTGTAGGCAAAATACAGTTTCTGAGAATTCTGTGTTTATTTCTGCTAAGTAGGGGCAATTACATTTTTGATCTGGACATGCTGCTGTGAGACTCAGGGATATTCACAGGATAGTGGAAGTGTTGAAAACCACTGGTGTCAAAAGTGGGCACCAACTAATGCATTCCT